ATTTTTACAAAAAATAAATTTCTAGTCTATTATAGTGTGAATGCGAGTAATATGTTTACGTTTTAATTATTACTCATTCTTGTTAAAACATTTAAATATTTAAACAGAATTTAAACACTAATTCACGAATCACATAATATCTCACTAAAGTAACAACTTTTCGAAACCACACTGTCAATTTTTCAACTTATCAATAATACAGTCATAAATTAAAAATATGATAATCATATCACTTCCAAATTCATTCGACAAGTCATTTATCGCAAATAAGGTATTGGAATAATGCATAGCGCGCGTATTAAACAATTACAAACATTTGTAAAATAATATATACTGAATACTATTTTCGTCAATTTTTCAATATTTATTTTAGAATTAAATTTTTGTGAAACTGCTTAACGAGAAGCAATGCCATTTATTCAGTAATTTAAAAATCTAAAGACTAATAATTTATTTCGTCCGTATAAGCAGTTATCTTGTATCAATCAATAGTATTTGAAAAAAGAAAGAAAAAAGTAAAGTAGTGGATACTTTAAGTTAAAAGTCAAATGTTAATGTATAAAATACATGATGTAATGTTTAAAGACTAGATTCTTATGCCATAAATAAATATGTAAAATTATAGAATAACTAGTTCGAATTGTTTTTACAAATCCGTGGCCTCAGAGGCTTTGAAATTATTATGTCGCATAATGTGTCAAAAAATTTGAAAGGCAGTTAGAATTTAAGTTAAAATATTATCTTCGACACGTCCTTTACGTCTCAGCGATTTTCCAATATAATCTGCCTGAAATTTGAAATAACTATTTTAAAAATTCAATACGAACGATTGAGGTTGCACCATTGTCGAAGAGCTCATCATTGTTTTTCAAAGTTTTTCAAATTTCCAAGTGCCTTTGATACTTTACATCTCTCATACATAACACGAATAAAGCGAGAAAAATTTTTCATAAAGAAAAATCGTTCGGAAAAATTATTCATTAATTAATTTCAATTTTAATCCCAGACTCGAACATGATAATATCTTTATAATATAATTAATTATTCGGGCTTGTTAATAATTGACGCGAATTGGTCAAATAGCAAGCGCATTGATCATTGATCATTCCCACTTACGGTATGGACTTTCTTATATGTCAATGTAACGCTGGCGAACTCGCTTACGCGATTCATTATTCCTCCACTCACGACAAAAACAACAAATAAGCACAAAACATGTAAGACATTTCCGCGAGCGCTATTTACACGTAAGTGTGCGCAATGTGTACAGAGATACGTAACGGTAAAAGTCCGAGCGAGGCGAACATTCTTCGCTATCTAATATTCCAGCACCGAATGTTTGAATTCAATCGCTCCGTCGTATTTCAGCGATTTCGCGAAATGCTAACGTCACCCGCGCTTTTACTTAAAATTTACATACATTAATAGCTTACAATATATAAACCCATTGGTACGCTTCCCGATTCTCCTATCCTTGGCGTGAAAAATATCTATTGGTCTTAAACGGCATTCGCGTCCTTTAAGTTTTTTAACGTACGTTAAGGATTTGTAACAACTGCTCCGGCTAGCCATTAAACGAGAAAACAAACAGCAGCGCAACAAATTGTATCGACGGTATTTTTATACTCGTGCGTGTTTATCGACAATCACTCGGCACTAAACGAGACAAGAAAAGAACAAGAAAAGAAAAGAAAAAAAGAAAAAAGAAATGAGAAAAAATCAACGCTCGTGTCCGAACGCTGGGATTTATTTACGCATTGTAAATGCCATTTATGTACGAATGAATAGAAACACTGGATATTGTGTGCTATGTCGCGTCGTAAACTCCCACCCAGCAACAGTACGCCCGTAAAATCACTAAAACACTGTAATTAGAAGAAAGCCGAAGCGATAAGCCTTGCCGCAAATCACAGCCACGACTCGATCGATCTCCAAGATAGATAATAAATAGGGCAAAGATCTTTGGGAATTGGTCGACCACCCACCCACTCGATCTCGCTCATTCGCTCAAAACAGCGTGTAGTAAGGCCTGTTGATTCCGAGAATATCCTACTTGTCCTATCCGTTCTCCTCTTCTTCGTCTTGCCATCATCTCCTCCTCCTCCTCCTCCTCCTCCTCCTCCTCATCCTCATCCTCATCCTCATCCTCATCCTCATCCTCATCCCCCTCACTTTCACTCGTGTGTGCTACGTCGCTTGCATTCACGCACGCGCGACTCATGTGCCAAAGCGTTTCATTAGCCATGTCCATCTTATTTCATGCGCTCTGTCAAAAATTTATATTTTTACAGCTGGCTAGCTTGCACGGGCGATTTTATCGGGAGGATTTTTACATTCGGGCCGTGCGGATACTCGCGCTTCGGGGGTAAAAATTTCATGACAAGAGAGCGACAATAACTCAAGCGTACGTGGAACCAACCACACAATGGAACAATAAGAATAAGAACGAACAATTAAGCGATTAGGATTGCCTAAGAGATGTGTCCAACACGGACTCCAACAAGCCGTATATCGCTAGGAGGGGCGGATGAGCGCGCGCGCGCGAGTTCGTGTATACGTGTGGGTGTGTTCGTGAGGTAAGGGGGGGGGGGGAAGGGGGGGGGGGGGGTTGGTGGTGGAGGGGGGTTAGTGGTGGAGGGGGCGGTTATACTGCGAACGGGGCGCAATTTGTTTACGTCGATGAGAGATAAACGCTGCCGCGATGACGAAGTAAACCGCCATTGAGAATGAAAAGAAGCATCAACGAGCAGACACGAGCAGAATGAGAGAGGCAGAAGAGGCGATAAAGAGAGGGAGAGACAACATCGGAGCAAGTGTCAGCGAATCGTCGCTCGTTTATTTAGCTACTTATACTCACCACATACGCACTTTTCGGAGTTTCGCGCAAGCAGCCCAAGAACCGTGGATTTCATCCGACCATATATATATATATATATATATATATATATATATATATATACATACATATACACATGTATGTACGCGTGCGTGCGTCCC